AAATATATTTTAGAAATGCTGCAAACTTCAAAAGGAATTATGTATTTTATAACTTTCATACGTTTTCTTAAACTTACAAATGGTTACCAATTTCATTCAAATGCACTTCAAGAGAGCTGAAGTTATTAACAAATTGAAACCTAGATTAAAAGTGGTAAAAAATTTCACCATGGATTTTAAAAATTGGTGGAAGTATACTTACCACGGCCTTCGAAAGGGTTAAAATAAAAATGTGGTAGAAAATGAAAAAAAAATTTTTTAATAATTGCCAATCAAATTATATATGTAAATTAAAACAAAGAATGTGTCGAGAGGTTGAAACTGTTCAACCAAATTATTAAAATCAAGACGGATATAAAACCTTTAAAATTTCTATGATATTTTTGTCACGTTTTTTTTTTCTTCAGATTTTTCCCGGCTGGGACCAATCTGAATATAGGGGGATATTTTATTTTTAATTTTGAAGGGGAAGCAAATACTTATTTGACTTTTTTTATTAACCCTTTAACGGGCACTTTATTTCCAGTAAAGGTAAATTAAAGTACTTTTGGAATTGAAATTGTTTTAAGAACAGTAATTGATATATATAAAAAAAACTCATTTAGTTTATAAAAAATGCCATTTTTTTGGTGGTAAATATATTTAACAAGACCTATTAGGAACTTACTGACTTTTATTTTTCTTTATTTATAAAATAAGTTCCTTAAATGCTGCAAACTTCAAAAGGAATTATGTATTTAATAACTTTTATACGTTTTTTAAAAGTGACAAATGGTTACCAATTTTATTCAAACTCACTTCAAGAAAGCTGAAGTTATTGAAAAATGGAAACCTAAATTAAAAGTGGTAAAACGTGGTGGTAAGTATGCTTACCACGGCCTTGAAAAGGGTTAAACACCACCTAATTTGAAATAAAAATCATGCAAGCATGTTCGAAACTGATTAGTTATGTTAAAATTACAGCGCGATTAAAAAAAATTATGTTTTTCATTTAACATACCTACAAGGATGTGATTACCATACTATGTTATTTTCTCTAATGCATAAATAAATTTGAATCTACTGGTTGTTAATAAAGTCCCTGACCCATTTTGATGTTCAATAACTCATGAAATAATAAAGATAGATTAAAATTAATAACATAAATGGTTAGATAGACTCAAAAAGTTTCATGACCCTTGTCAATGAACTTCCACGTGTGCCCCCTTCGTCGCACGAAGAGTATCAAGTCGATAGTCAATTTCACACCAGGTAGCGGTAAGCATGTCGGCATCCACAGAGGCTATTGCGGTTGTAATTCTGGCTTTTAGGTCATCAATGTTTGACACGGTCCTCCTATATACATTGTCCTTTATAAATCCCTAAAGAAAAAAGTCCAGCGGCGTTATATCAGGTGACCTGGGTGGCCAAGGAATTGGACCTCCTCGCCCAATCCATCTTCCTGGAAAATGGTCATTCGAAGAACTACGAACGATGATACCCCAATGAGGTGGTGCACCATCTTGTTGCAAAAAGACATGTGACTGAAGCTCTTCTAGTTGGGGAAATACGAAGTTTTCAAACATGTCTAAGTATACGACTGATGAGACCGTCTTTTCTGTAAAAAAGAAGGGCACAGTGAATCGGTCGTGCATTAGTCCACACCACACATTAACCTTTGGGGAATCCCTTTGTGTCTCACGGTATTCATGGGGGTTTTCAGATCCCCATATGAGGATATTATGGTGATTAACAATGCCAGAAACATGAAAGGATGCTTCGTCGGAGAACATTATGAGCTTCAGAAAATCCGCAGCATCTTCTATCCTTCCTACCATATCTGTTGCAAACGCCATCCTCCTAGGCCTATCTTCCGGTTCCAAACCTTGAACAATTTGAACTTTGTATGCATGCAGTCTTAATTGTTTCTTAATAAACTTGTACACCGTCGAAATTGGCATATCCAATTCTCTTGCCGCTGATCTCACAGATCTTCTAGGATTGTCTAAAAATGTCTGTCTGGCACGCTCAACGTCAAAATCACTTGTTCATGGACGTCCGGAACGTTTCTTATCTGCGATACTTCCAGTTTCTAGAAAATTCTTTTTCCACCGCAAGATGCTGCTTTTGGATGGAGGATCTTTTTCGTAAATTCTTCTGCAATTTCTCTGTGATTGCACTATCGATTTCGTTTCTATGAACCACCATAAAATCTGCGCTTTCTCTTGTGGTGTATGCATTCTCCTTGATATCAGCTCGAATAAAACATCACATAGAAAAGTAGTACATAGAACAAACACATCAAAAGTAAACATAACATTGCAATAGTTGCTAAAAACAAAAGAGAGAGAAATGCAATTAATAAGCAGACGATATTTAGAAAAGTACAGATATTTAGACTGGAAAATGAAATTATCTGAAATTAACCGCACGCGCAGACGATATTGACTAAAGTAAAGATATTCAAACCTGAAAAGGAAAATATATGAGTTATTCCATCAATAAATGCCATAAGTTTGTTTATATCTTCATTATTTTATGAGTTATTAAATATCAAAATGGGTCCGGGAATTTATAAACACCTTGCATATCTACTTCATCCACAATGCCGGCATGCCAGTTGCTCCACCTTTAACAAATGCAGGGCTGCCAACTCTCTATTCTAAATTTATTCTAGTGGTAGCTATGTTTTAATGTATTATTTTTTATTTCTTTGAACTTATTTTCTGCGTCACTAAAAAAGGGTACTTTTCAATTATACCGGGGCAGGCGATAAGTTGCCAATAATGATGCTACCAATGCCAAACTGAATATCGAAGATGGTAACCCTTTGTCTCAACATTTTCAAAGCAAGCCATTTTTTAAAATCGGTAACGTCTTTTTCTTAGTTCGAAAAATTAACGGAAAAGGCGATGAAAATTTGGGATTTTGCCCATAAAAGAGTAAGAAGCGCTCAGATTCCTCAAGAGAAAGGCGTTTTGGCTGAAATCGCAAATTTTGATAAGAATCATAAAATGAAATTGTGCATAGGAGTTGAAATTAAATGGCGCTGCAGCCTTTCATCTTTTCGGTGCAACAAAAGTATCCGTAAAGACACATGGTTTAAGTTATCGAAAATGAACTTTTTTGAAATGTGCGTGGTTTATTTATTGTTGCAGCGAAATATTAATTTCAGTTAAATGGTGAGAAAAGTAGTTGGGAATAACTTCATGCTTGAGGTTTGTGTGAATTCTTCGCTTAAACGTGAACAACGTGAAAGTAGGATGACCTGGCATGATCGTCATCGTCAAAGTAGACGAAAGTTTGTTTACGGAGCGAAAAAGTAATGCGGGACGGATTCTACCACAACAATGGATCTTCGGTGGAGTTTGCCGGAAACGAATGTTTCCTTGTGGAGGTGCCAAACCGATCTTCTTACACTTTCAAGGCAATTAAGGAAAATATCGAAAAAGAAACTATAATATATTCCGATTCATGGAACTCATATTGCACTAGTCAGCTGGACGATGAAAGTTTCGAACATTTCAAAGTGAACCATAAATACATCCTTGTAGAACCGGAAACTGGAACACACACGCAAAAAATAGAGAGACGGTGGGCCACAGCGAAATGGCGAATTAAGAAACACAGAAGAACGACACACCATCATCTCGAGATTTATCTTGCCTAATTCATGCGAAGATGGCAAACAGAAGCCCCATTTTCAAAAATTTTAAGCGATATTAAAATGTTTATGCCTCCGATATAAAAAATGTTTTTAACCATTTATTAACTGTTTTTTTAATGTGTATGCTGTGTGTTGTAGCCAATAAAGTCTGCTTTGTGTGATTTGGTCCGGCAACTGTGTGCTGTCACCAAAAAATCTGCTTGGCGAGATTTGTGCCGGTTTAATGGAAAAGTACTGATAAAAGATAAAGAAAATCAAAGCCTAAATCGCGTCACTATATATGAATGCAACGCCTCTTCATTCCAGCTTTCGCGTGGTGAGGCCTTTTAAAATGTAAGCAAAGTTACCAAAAACTTTGACAGCTTGCGTTTTTAAATGTCTTCCAATTTATAAAATATTTTGCAAAAAGCGTAGTAGTCGGCAGGATTGGAAAATTTTTCTGCAAAAATTGCTAACGAATTCAAAAGTAAAGCTTTAAAAAAAAGATAATTTCTTTTACATTTTAGAGGTGTCACCGCGTGATGATTATAAAAGAATTGCATTTGATATCATATTTTGAAATTCCAATACGTAGTGGTGGAGAAAATTAAATTAAATTTCAGATACAAAACTAAAAATAACCTGAACTATGTTACCACTACAAGATATTTTTCACAAAGTGTAGTAGAATTGCAGACAACATTTCATCCAATAAGCTTTTCATATATCGTCCCATTTTATTTTTCAAAATACAATTTTATTACGAAGCAAAGACCTGAAAAAATTAACAAGAGGTAACTAAGATTTTTATAAGCTTCTAAAATACGGTTAAATTTAGTTTCCAAGTAATTATTACAAAAATATTCGAGCTTCTTTTTTATCTTTTTTTAAAATTTTGACCTTAAACATGATTGGTATCAGCTGAAATTTTTTAACAACTGCGAATAACTCAAATCAGTTATATTCTTCTCAGTTTTGACAATGGAATACAGAAATATTAAAAATTAAATTGCTTGTAATCATTCGTCACAGGGGCCCAAGTTTTAAAGGGGTTGAAATTAAATCACGTAGTCACAATAGTTCTTTAAATTTCCCCGATAAGAAGAAATTCTGCGACGTATGGGCGTGGCAGAAGTCGAGTTCTTGGCCAGAGATAGCACCCCATTCCTTAATGGCCTATCACAACAATAACAACAGAAGGATTGTTTACATTGAGTTAATATAGAAATGAATGTTTTCACAATTTTGTACAACCCCTGTCTATATTTTTATGCGATTTTAATAAATTATATTCATTACTTATCCCTATAAACTGTTTAAGTTTATTTTTATACCCTATTCCTATAATATACAATTTTTCTATATTTTGTTGCAGGTCCATCTACGGGCTAAGGAATGCAGTGATGTGTTAGACATGCTGAGTTGCCTGAACAGTGGAATCCATGTTGAAAATGTGATGAACACATCAAACCTATCATTAGAAACTTTCAAAGATATTTTAGATTTGGACAGAGTCTCGATAGCAGGACATTCATTTGGAGGAGCTACAGTCATTACAACTATGTCCAAAGATAAAAGATTTAAGTGAGATATTATTTGTGCTCTTACTAACAAAATTAGGGTCTTTTAATTAAGCGCGTACAAAAAAATTTAATTGAATATTTGTAAAAAAGTCAGAATTAAATAGTAATGAAGTGAAAGATATACAGGAAGGTTATAAATCAACCACATATTGGAATTTATATAAATTTACTTATTAATACATAACGTTTAGGCTCGAAATATTTTTCATTGTACAGAGTATGTGATTGGTCAGAAACAAAGTCATAAAAAGATTAGTTCAATAACTAGTCAAACAAGTGCGATAATTATGTATAAGTAAAAAGTGTGACAAAAGTCCATATTATTAAACTTACTGGTTTAGCAGATAGAACATACTTGCCAACTTGAACTGTCTCATTTGGAACAATTTCAAAAAAAAGTATTAAATCAATAATTAATGTAGAAAGAATTTTGTGAAACTTGTTCTAGTTTGCCAGCGCTTAAAAACCCATCTGTCTGAGTAAAAAAAAACTAATATTGTTTGAAATATTGGTCAGTTAAGTATTTTTAGGAATTTTAAAAACTAAAATACGATATGAAATCATTAAATCAGTAATGCCTCTACCATTGGGAAACATTTTCCTTTTCGACTGTAGAAATTACACTAGGGACAAATTTTTACCCAATTCGGGTGTGGCGTTTAAAATACGAAATGAGCTTTCTTCGGAAAGCTGCAAATTTTTTTCAAATTGGTGTTTTTAGTTTCGTTTGTTTCAATCTGAAGTAACAAGGTTATAAAGAATAGAATGTATAAAGAGATTCCTCAAAATAATGCAAAAACTCCTGTACTAACTCTATGTAAACATGTTTTCTTTCAACAGCAGATGTTTTTGAAGATTTTAAATAACAATATAGATGGTACATCATAATCATGCTTGAAATTTTTAGAAATGATGCATCTTTATCACCCATACAGAATTGGCATAGAGTCTGTGCCAATTCTATGCCATAAACCAATTTCTATCCATTAGATTTCCTTTCTCAGTATCACTATAATTAAAAAAAAGCATTTTAATCATAATACCATAGAATGATAGAATGCTGGTATTAAAGCTGAAAATAATCTTAAAACGCTCATTTTGTTCTATCCGAATTTCGCCTGGGTTAAAACGACACAATATCTAAGAGCTTCAAACATGATCTTTCAAATTGTGCCTGCACTTTTGCTGCGTAAAATCCTCTAAAACATTTCCTTCCAAAAGAAAAACTTTTTTCATAGAGTTAGTACAGAAATACAAACTTGCTCCGGATAGCGGATAAATATTTTCCAGTGGTAATCTTTTACTGTGTGATTCTGGGTTTAATAAATTCAATTTATAGAATTTTTACTCCCCACGACCCCTAAATAATTCAGAGGGTTATGTGATACGCCACTTTGTTACAATTAAGCCGTGTTGAACCTTTTAAAAAGTTAGCAATGTTAACCGAAGATCTGCAAATTTTAAATCGTAGTTCTCTGCTATTTTTAAAAATACTTTGTTGAATCCGGAACAGCTGACCTCTCTGTTAGCATGAAAGTGTTTGCGTTGTTTTAATCAACAGCTGTAGGTTATATACAGACCTATACACTTCTGCTCCTTTGAAAATAACACTCATGTCAGCTAGTTAGTCTCCTCCTAAAACAGTAAAGCTTGTTGAAAAATTTCTAACAGCACATTCGAAAATTCACCTCTTTACCTTTGTGATTACTTTAAAAAAATTATTTCAGTTAGAGAATCTCTGAAAAGAATTTATGTATTAATTATTGGAATAGTAAATCGGAAAGGCAGAATAGTGAATCAACAAAGATCTGTTTAAAAATGTTACATTAATTTTTTTTTCAGGAGGACATTGGCCAGCTTAACTTTAGATAGAAAATATATGACCTTAACATATCGTAATTTAAACTAAACTGAAATGTATCATCGCCTTCTTCCTACACCGTTCCTTCGAAATCCTGGTTAGGAATATATAATTAATTTAATAAAAACTGTTATTTGTAGAAATAAACTGGAAATTAGAGTATATGAAATTTGAGGAAAATAGATTATGAAAATATTTAAAATCAGTTCAAAAATCTCCTGTGACAGAAGGAAAATGCTCTCCAGTACTATCAGTTAGACTAATACAACCATGCAATATGTGTAAGAACAATCGTAAATGTACAGTGCGCCAAAATATATATATATATATA